AGCCCGCCGTTCAGTAACCAGGCAGGTGGAGAAATGCTCGGAGAGGCGAGCCACCTGGGCCCCAGCCTAGAGCCCGCCGTTCAGTAACCAGGCAGGTGGAGACCCTGAGGACCACGGGGACACTCACGCCTTCTCGGTGCCATAGCTTCGGTAGTCGATGGCTGCTGCAATGCCCACCACCAGGGCCGGGAAGCAGTAGCCGCCCAGGTAGTAGTATTTGGTACGAGAGTATTCGCTCTCGAACACCTCCACCAGCAGCAGGTAGAGGTGCACACCTTCCAGGCACAGCCAAGAGAAGGCAGCCAGGAAGAAGTAATGCAGCAGGCCGGCAAAGATGGGGCAGGCGATCTGTGGGAGCAGCAAAGGTCAGTGGCTGTACCAGCTGCCTGTGGCCTCCTCTTGCTGCCCAGCCCCTGCCCCAGCTTACCTCATACTGAGTTTTGTCTATCCCAACCAGGAAGAGCAGCTCAGCCAGGAAGAGATTGATGCACAGGTTCTTGTGGATCGTGTTGCGATCGGTCTGCAGACCCCGCAGGAAGCAGAAGGTGGAGATGCATATGGCCAGGCAGACCAGGGAGATGACAATGCCCACCCAGGTGATGACTGACAGCAGTAGCTCATTGATACGGCCCTGGTACTGGGGGACAGGAGCAGGGGTACACTTAGGGTTTCTGGCTTTGTACTCAGGGCTTGTCCAGGTGCCAGCTGTAGGCAAGGACCCAGGCAAGGCCATGGGCCACTAGGCTCTCCAGTGCTGCCCACCCGGCCACCAAGCCAGCCCCCACCCCTGTGCAGGTGACGAGCTCACTTCCTCATGCTCTGGAAGGCTTGTGGAGAGATGACAAAGGTGATACCAGCTTGCTTCTCCAGAGTGCCTTGGGGCCAGATGCAAGGCCTCATGCCCCAGGCAAGACTGTGGCCCCCCATGGCCACGAGCTGGCCTTGCAGGCACCACCCATGCTGTGTGCTCTCTAGGATGCCATGCAAAGCAAGGCCAGCAACAAGCAGGCCCACTAGGAGCAGCAGAGTGCCGGCCAGCTTACGATCTCTCGGTGAGCCATGAGTACAGCGAAGTTGGTGAGATGGCTACAGGCACATGTGGTATGGGTCTTATTGGACTCCACCAGGCGGCAGCCCTGGGTTGACCAGTAGCCCAGCATGGAGCGCTCTGAGTAGTTCCAGAAGGAGCAATTCGCATTGAAGTGGTTCTTGGCCTGTTATATAGTGGTGGCCAGGGTGTCAGGACAGGAAGTCCTGTTCCCGCCCCACACCCAGCAACAGGGATAGCGACAAGTGTGAAAGAAGTGCCAGGGGCCCCAGGTGACTACCAGATCTATGGGACAAGTAGTCCAAACTGAAACAGGGGAGAGACAGATAGTCAGGCCCCTTAGGGAGCTGAAACGTACTCTTGGGTAGATGAACACGTGGTAGGGTAAGCGTCAGGGACTGGAGGGCTCACCTCCAGGTGGGCCACAGTGAAGATGACAGGGTCCATAAGGAAGACGCGGCTTGACTCCTTATTGATAGCCGCTGCAATGACCTGTGAGTTCACCACCAGGGAGGCACCTCCAGGGCCACCTGTACCTGCTTCACCCGCCAGCTTCACCGTTGCATTCTCCGTGGACAGGAAGAGGCCCAGGTTGTTGTAGAGGATGAAGACAACTTTGACTACCCCTGGGGAAGATGGCTATGATGAGATGTGGTGGCCACTCTCAGCTGTACCCCTCCATTCAGGCTCCGTGGCCCATAGGCATGCTGAAGCTAGGCTGTGGCCTAGGTGAAGGGGACTAAGGGACCCTTTTCCATAAGACCAGTGTTCAGCAATATCCCCGGCAGAAGCTGGCTCTTTGATCCACTCTTATTTGCTGTGTGACATTGGGCAGATCCCTAGCCACTCTGTGTCTCAGTCTCAAATGGCACAATGTACCCTTAAGCTGAGAGGACCAATAGCTCCCGCCTAGCTCTGCAAACTCAGGCCTTTGGGCTTTGGGTTATCCATGAAATTGGCTGGCAGATAAACCCTGTTTAAAGTTCATGACCATCGTGCACCATTCAGAGCTAAGCTCACAGTGCAAGGCTGGGAGTACCCATGTAGAGTATTACTGAAACTCTGTGGGGCACTGACCATTTCGGCTGTTCTGTTTGATGGTGTTGGCGGACAGCTGGATGGAGTTCTCACTGGGATACTCCTGGGGAAACACCAGCTCTTGTACCTGGCCCTCTGTGTTCAGGACAGTGACCTCCAGGACTGTGGAGCAGGGGCAGAAAAGGCAGGCTATTTAGTGTCTGTCTGTAGACTGGGCTCACACTACACTGTGAGGCCCCATAACAAGAGACTGCAGGCCCAAGGCCAGGAGCCCAGCACTCCCAGAGTTTGGGATTTGGTCCTGGGGTAGCTACAGCACTCACCCACGTTCTGTTTGGCAGCCAGGAAACGGGCAGGCTCCCTGACATTGTCAGCCAGCAGGAAGGCCCCTTCCTCCAGGACGTCTAGGAGCATGGTGGCTGTGTGCACCTGCTCTGTGGCATTCATGTCCTTCCAGGACTCAAGTGCCTCTGGCCGGAGCAGGTTGTCCACTGTCTCCACCACAGCCTGTAGAGTCAGTCCATGAGTCAGTCCCTTCCTCTCCCATCCCCACAGACCTCAGGCAGTCAAGGCCTCTGGTTCCTAAGAGCTGGACTTCTCTGGGCCTCACCTTGATATAATCCTTGCAGGTTCTCTCTCGCTTGTGCATCTAGAGAAAGAAATGTCGATAGTCCAGGTACTTCATCCCTAGCCCCAACGCTCCAACATCGGGGCCTGGAAAGATTGTTCCTCCACTAACTTGGGGCCAAGGAACCAGCCAGACATGTTCGTCAGGGACCCCAATTTCTCAGGACCACCCAGGTCAGTGCAGCAATGAGGCCCATTGGTCACTGTGGGGCGGCAGCAGGTGTGGAGACACCAGTCAGATAGTTCCTACAGGGCCCACCTTATTGTAGTTCTTGCCAGCTGATTCACGCTCAATGGGCCGCAGGGCCTGAAGCTGGGCATCCAGGATGTCTAGCAGCTGTTCCATAAGCTTCACAGATGAGGACACATCGCCAGCATAGATAGAGCCCCGAGTATGTCGGGCCAGCTCACTGGCAATGTTGGCTGCATTCTCTCCACTCTTAATCTGCACGAGGTAGAGAGGAGGGGGACCTCAGATCTTTTGGGGAATGGCCGGCCCTGCTCCACATTCCCTCTTAACAAGCCCTGCCTGCTTAGGCCCCCCTCTTCTCCCTGGCTCTGGCTTCTGGCCCTGTGTTCTCCTAGCGGCTTCCCTGGACTCTGGACAGCCTGCCTGCAAGAGGCAGTGGTTGTTGGTACCTTCTGGGCCACCTGGTTGACCCAAGGGGAGGTGCAGTTGCTGAGATCAGGGCCCCGGGGGTTCCAGAGCCCCAGGGCTGGGAGACACTGGAACGAGGCAATTCCTGTGGAGACAGACAAGGAAACCAAAGGGAAGGAGAAGAAAAGAGGCGGAAAAAGGAGACAAGAGTGGAGAACAAGTGGGTGAAGGGGATGTGGGAAAACAGACATGAAGCAGCCCATTCTGAGCCTCCCAGAGTTAGACCCCCAGCAAGGTTCAACAATGGAAGGCCCTCTTCACAAAGCTGCTCCCAATCTTGGGGTCCCCAGAGCATTGGTATGTGAGATACCTATTAGTCTTGTGTCTGTCTGTCCTGCAACTGGCTTGGTTATCTCAGCCAGAGGCCAGGAGGTGAGACACCTTCTGCAGCTCCTTGAGTACCTGTTCACACTGGAACCTGGCTGCACATAGTCTGGGGACATGACCCCTCCCTGCAGAACACCCCTCTTTAGTGAAGATGGACGAATGGCACCTGTGCTAAGCTGTGCTCTTGCTGTGTTTCCCCCAGCCCTTCCTGGCCAGCCATAGCCTCTGTACTCACCTCGAGTCCCCTTGGGGCAAGGCCTCTCCACCAGCATGCCCTGCTGGGTAGCTGGCCACTGGACCCGCCGTACCTCTCGGGGCTCACAGAAGAGCTCGGGGGACACATGCAGATTGGGGGCTGGGGGTCTCCGGGTGCTGGGTGCTGGGGCTGTGGCTGGAGGCAGGTCAGGTCCCAGCTGGTTGATGGCGCCCACTGGGTGCGTGGTGAGGGGTGCCCGGCGAAGTGGGGTGGTGGCTGCAGGAGAAGCTGTGCTGGTGAGGGGTGTGGGCCGGACTGTGGTGGTAGTGCTGAGAGATGGGGAAGTGGCTGGGCCTGGAAGATAGAGAGGATCTAAAACAGGGTCATACTCATGTCTGAGTCCTGGCCAACACATACCCCCACATCTTTCTGACCCACTTAAGTGGAAAGGTGTCATGGGTCCTGGGCCTTTCTGTGCTCAGAGGTCCCCTACATTCATGAGACCATGTACTCAGAAAAAGGTAAAAGTATACTGTGTGTCTCTGCATTCTGAGGTATCTCTGCAGAAGCTGAGACAGGTTGGGGTGTCAAGGCTGCTGAATGCAACCACCCCTCATCTGTGGCCCAGCTGATTCGGGTCTGGTACCTTACCTACACCTTCCCTCTGGGGGTCTCAACTCCCTTTAAACAAAGAAGGTTGCATAAGGCTTCCTGGAGTCCTGGGCCTGCTCAGAGCTGGTAATGGGCACCTGGGAGCAAAGTGAGACTCTAAAGGGGCCTCCCTGGCCCCACAACAAGCTTCTTTCTGCTTTGATTCTGCACCCAAGTGTTCCTGAACTACTGTGTCCAAGTGCACAAGTCAAAGCCCAGAGTTCTGGGGGTCCAGTTCTCAAATAAGAGAACTCTCCAGTCACCCAGTGCTTCTGTTTCTTCATCTTAAGACAAAGGAAGTAAACTGCCTGGCTTGTGGGCTACCAGCATCATGAGTTAGTAACTGTGTTTGGAAGTGTTTACCACATCCTATAGCTTTCTTTTTACCTCCTGATTCCCAAGAGCTGTACTATCCTGGCACCAAGGAGACTGGGGAATGGACACAAACAGGCAGACACCCCTCAGCAGCCATCCTCACCAGCACTAGGGTCGGGGGGTCCAAATTCCAGGCTGTAGCGGACCACAAAATAGTTGTTCCACACATACAGCTGGTTGTCCCGGGGGTTGTAGTCAACAGATGACACAAACTGGTAAGGATTGGGGAAGGAGAGGCTGATCGGCTCCTCACGGTTAGCATTGGTGTTGAAGGCATAGTCCACACGGTTGCCAGCTGCCTCGCTGTCATCGTCCACATACACAGAGCGCAGCACATAAAGGACTCCACACACCATGAAGGCGTTGGAGGCTGATCGCTTGTCATAGCCGGTTTCCCATGTGCCCTCAAAGCGCAGTGTGTAGGGGTTGAGCTGACTCACCACCAGCCGGCCGTTGTTGCCCTCAGTGGCATAGATGACCCACAGCCCATTCTCATCCACCGCCAGGTCAATGTCGGTCTTGCCCCCCCAGCGGTAGGGCGAGGTGTCATGGTAGTTGGCTGTGTTGATGACAGTTTCCCCACTCTTGATGCGCGTCCGCAAGTCGTACTTGACAATGTTGCGTGTGCGCTCCTTGTTGTAGAAGACTGCGCCATCATAAACCACAAAGCCGGTGCCGTCAACACGGTTGGGCAGCCGATACGTGGTGGTGTGGCGGGCAGCCACATAGTCTTCCCATGAGGCATACTCAGTCAGTGTGTCTGTGCGGTAGGGGATCCAGGGCATGACGTAGATGCGGTCACCGGCCTGCAGTGGGTCCTTGCACCACGCACCAGACTGGTGCTCCGACTCGTGTGTGGAGGTGGGCTCCAGCACCTTCTGCAGGGTCCCTGGGCACACGAAGACTGGGCCAAGTAGGTGGGTGGGCGGGCAGGGAGGCAGGGAGGAGCAGAGGCAGGGAGAGAGGGGAGAGAGAGGCAAGTTGGTCACAAGGCCGGGGGAGCCATTCTGTCCCTCCTGCTGCTGCAGTCATGGTTGCTTGGTCGGGCTGGTGATGGGAAGGGGGTTTGCAGGCTGGGATTCCCGCCCCCGCCCAGCTGCCCCTCTCCCTGGAGACCATCAAGAGCAGGGTTAGTGTGGGGAGGTGGCACCCTCTACCCTTCCTTGGCTGCTAGAGACCCCACAGGCTGGGGACAAAGGGTAGGCCAAAGCCCTCCTGGAGCTGTTCTGGAAATGATAAAGTGGGGATCTCCTGCTGTAGTGGAACCTAGCCTCAAGGTTCAGGAATCAGCACCCTGGCCTTCCTTCTCTGTCCCTATGGAAGAACTAGGGGATGGGAGTCCCATCCTTCACCGACCACACGGGAATGGACTTCAAAAAACACAACAATAACAAAACTTCACTTTCTTCCTCCTGCAAAAGCTGCAAGATAGAGTGATGTTTCCACATCCACTGTGGGTGTAGGCATACCCCGACTCCGGCAGGGAGGACTAGGACTATCTAACTCTCCTTAGCTCCCCCTCCCCCATGCTTCCTATGCTCCACCCTGTTGGCACTCGCCAAGCAGGTATCTGAGGAAGTCACTCCGGGAGGCAGCTCCCAGGTTAGGCTAGGGAGGAGGAATCCAGGCCTGCCCCAGCCGGCAGGGTCTCTGGTGGGGTCAGGTTCAGCAGCACACACTGATACTGGTACACAGGGGTGGAATGGGGACACTGAGAGTGACAGGACTCTCGGGATATTTGGGGAGGGGGAGCTGCAGGGAGAGGGAAGAGAGACAGAGGGGAGGGGTTTCCGCAAAGTCCTGGCTCCAAGGGAGGCGCTCTGGAGACGACCTGGGAAGAAAGGGTTAGTGCTGGTGGAGGAGAGAGGGGGTGAACAGAGAATTCACTCCAAGGCCCAGGCCCAGCTGAGGGTCCCTTCCAGGGGAAGTCCCAGGTCCAGCTCGGAGGGGGCAAGGGAGGGAACCAGGTGCTAGGATAAAGCCCCAGCCCGCCCCAGCCAGCCCCCACCTCCCCTGCCCAGGACCCTGATTTACCTGCGACCATCCCCGGCTCGGGAGGAGGGACCAAGGCAGCGCTGATGTCAGAAAGGTGGGGGGCCCCCGCCCCACCCCCCCATTCCCTGAAAAGAGGAAAACCTAGACTGCATCTCATTGGCGCCACTAGCCTGCCCACCCTTACCCTTCACAGCCCAGCACCACCTACCGCCTACCCCTACTGATCCAGCAGGTCAGCATGGCTAGTCTCCTCCAGAAGGGCTGGCCCCTCCCCTCATCTCCCATGGCAGAACCCACAGACAAGCCAGGGCTGGGGAGGAGTGGAGGAATCTATGGTGAATTCTCTGCTCCTGACTGGTGCATCACCAGAACAGTCAGCCCCTGGGGGTCAGGGAGGACTGGGACCTGGTGCCAGCATGGGAGGCAGCCCCAGTAGAGAGGGGCCCCAGGTAGAAACCAGGCCTACTGTCCACTTCAGTCTGGCTCTTCAGCAGGCTTGGGGGTGGGGGTGTGTTTGCAGCCTTCCCTCCCTTCACAGCACTAGGGCAACAAGCAGCCAGGAGCACAGCCCCTTCAATAGGAGGGCAGCCTCGGGCAGCCCCATGCTGGCCAGGACTCTGAGCCTTGGTATTCCCTTCTGTAGGGCCCGCACCCTCTGACCAGCCCACCTGGCCTCCATCCTTTGTCCTGTTCCGCTGGTCCCCGGCTCTACCCCATGGGGATCCCTGACAGGGACATGTATGTGTAAAGAGGGGCTGTGGGAGGTCTTGGGGCCTGAGCTGGTCAGAGGGTGTCAGGCAGGGGAGGAAAAACAGTTAGACTGCATCCCAGGGAAGGGGGAGAGGAGGACCCCTCCCCAGTACCCAATTCCCAACACCTCCCCTTCCTTCCCCCAGCCCAACCCTGAAGAGGAGATCCAGTAATGTACTTCCGAAGCATGAGCCTGCAAGAAGAGTGGCTGGTGCCAGGGCGGACTCAGGAGAGCAAAGGAGGGCCAGTGCCCAGGCCTGAGATGGGCCAGGCAGGAGGGGGAGGGGAAGGGAGCAGCTCAGAGGGACCCCACCCACTCACTGGCAGGGATGCTCCACAGACCACCTTAATTTCAAGGTGAAAGGGACCCTAAAGGGCTATCTCATTGCTTGCCCGCTGCTACCTGCCCCACCACCAAGCCCCACTAGCTGGGGTACTCCCTAGCCCTTAACAGATAGCTTTGTTAACCATGGGGCTCCCTACAAGAAATTATGGGGCCTGTGGAAGTTCCCAGGACACATTTGTGACTCCCACCACCCCTCCCTGGTCCTCTCCCACATCAGCCCGGAAGAAACCCTGACTGCAGCTTTGCAAGTGTGCAGAGACAGAACCCGCTCCCGCCACCCACTCCAGGAGGCCCACCCCCACCCCTTGTCCCAGGGTTTTGGCAGGATGCCCCCTCCCAGGGTCTCAGGATAGCTGATAACCCTTCCCAGGACTAGGCTCCTGGCTGGTCAAGAGGGGTGGCAGGTGGGGAGACTGGTGCTCCATGTTCCATAACAGCTCTGGGCCTTGGAAACGCCAAACCAGAAGAGCTTAAGCCACCAGGACCCAGGGAGAGAGGAGGAATCTGGACCCCAAAGGAAAAAGTGTCCCGTCCACCCCACCACCCTCTACAGGAAACTTTACAAAAGGTGTGAGGGGAGAAGAAAGAAGGGGGGGGCTGAGGGAGAGAAAATGCTACCAGGTGCCTGTGGGGGCTGGAGGGGAGCCCCCCCTCCCCACCCGCCTGGATGCTTATATACTTCTCCTGAGGGAGGCAAAAGAAATGAGAGGTCAGGTCCCCTGCAGGGACCAGGGACCAGAGAGGAGGTAGAGATGAGAGGGAGAAAGAGACAGAGAGGGAGGGATATCACTGGACCAAGTGGGGGTGGGGAGAAGACGGGGCTGGAAGGGTGGGCCACATGAGTATGGTACAGGTGGAACAAAGTGTGAGTTAGGGGGTTAGCATTGGTGACAGTGCGTTTACCTTTCTGCTCCACTTCTACTTTAAGCATCGGAAGAGAGAGAGAAAACAAATTGAAAAAAAAATGCGCAAGAAAAAAAGAGAAAAAAAAAGATTAAATTGCTTTCGTTTCTTTTCTGGTCACACGCCCCCTTTTCCTGTCCTTCCTTGATCCTGTTTTCCCAACCCCTTCTATTAGCATCAGTTCATCCCCCACCCCCAAGTCCCTTCCTCTTGGGGTAGGATGGGGCAAGAGGGTGCTGGGGAGACAGAAGGGACAGGGGAACACATGGAAGGGGAAGACGAAGAGACGGGGCATGGCACACACAGGCAGGTGGACAGAGCCCTCAAGCTGGGGGGCCCTGGGAACAGAGGGATAGGGAGGAGCCCCAGCTGGGAGCTGAGCTTTGGCTGGGGGGACACCAGGCAACAGAGAATAGAGGAACCTTGTGTGCTGACCCCCTGCTAGAACCAGGGGCTGAGAGAAGGGGTTCAATGTCTCTGGGGCCTGTGTCCCGTTCCCAGCTAAGAGCACAGATTGAGATCTTCTGCCTTTGAGGAGGCCCCACCTCAGTCCAGCTGCGTTCCTCTAAGGCCTCCTGACCCCAGAAACGCATACAGAGGGCAGTAGAGCCAGACATAGACAACAGAGGCAGACAGGCAAGTGCCCTTGGCCTTGGACAGAGCCAGGGTAAGGGAGACAGAGGCATAGAATTAGATGGGACACAGACTAGGTGGGACAACACATGGCAGAGAGGCTTCCACACTCCTTGGAGGAGAAGGCAAGCTCATGGCTCAGCTGCTCTGCCCAGCCCACCAGGGCCTAAAAGCCCTAGCTGCCCCCTGCCCTACCCACCGCCCTTGATGACGCACGGGTGGCACCTAGGGAGGAAGGGAATGTTAGGCTGTGCTCAGCTGCAAAGCAAATCCAGCATTAGTCCAATGTCTGGGGTCCCCACACCTCAAGTGACCCCTCCAAACCCTGTCCCCTATCCCTGCCCCACCCTTACCAGCACTGGGGTCACCCTGGCCTCTGAAGCTCAGGGCCCCATGGCTGCCTAGACTGCTCCCTGCCACACACTCTGCTGGAGTTCCACAGGGGCCCTGTCTGGCTCCCCAGCGCCTCACCCAGGGCCTGGTTCTCAGGACGTACTTAGGGAAGGTTAGGGAGTAGTACCCAGCTTCCCTGTCTCTCTCCTTAGTTTCAGTGATTCCTACACTCCAACCCAACCATTTGGAAGGTCAAGAGCTAGTTCAACTGGGTGCAGCAGCTCTTCCAGCCCTGCTCATCACATCCACCCTGTATATGCCCTGTCTTCCAAGTCTCAGGCCTGTGCCCTCCTCAGTCTGGTGCTGCCATCCCCGACCTGTGCCACTTTCCAACCCCAGAGTCCTTGGTCTTCCTTGGGTTGTGTCCCCTGGCTACACTTGGGGGCTGGGTTCCAGGACTCAAAGCTCCACTCCAGGGTCTGTGGTCTTTCCCCACTTTTCCTGTACCATCTATTTGCTTGGGATTCCACACAGACCAGAGCATTTTTCTGCCCAGTGTCTTTCTGGCCTCTGGAGTAACTGGGTTCATCACATGCTACTATTTTTATTTTGGTTACCATGGCATTAACAGCAATCGTTAAGTGAAAAGCAGTCACAATGACAGCACCCAGGGCTCAAGAGGGGCAAGGACATATGCTAGGCACCTCATAGGTAGGACTTCCGGAAACCTGTCTACAGCTGGGGAAACCAAGGCTCAGAGAAGTGAGGCCCTGCAGCCGACAGAAGCACTGTTCTCTTGGCACCCACGGCCCGGGCCACAGCAGCTTGACTCCCATGCTGTCTCTATTCGCAGCACTAGGGACAGGCTTTTGACCCCTCCCCTATCACAGAGGAGTTAAGAGGCTCAGGTGGTGGGAAAGAGTGTCCGTACCATCACTGAGCACATCTTGAACCAGGCTCGGGGCTGGGTGCTGGGGGGTGAAGTCGCAGCCTCTGCCTTCGGGGCTTTGCTCCTGGGAGTGGACTCTGGCCGCAGGGCCGAGCGCTTGTTACTCCTGATCTCCAGGACTCACGCCTCCGTCTGCAGCACCCGGAGAAATTAAGTCATTTGCTGCAGATTTCAGAGCCAGAAAAATCAAGAGCCTGGTCAAGCCTCATGCCACCTGCCTGCCCTCTGTCCTACACTTGTCACCTCCCACCTCCCTCCCTCTACCCCAGCTGTGGGGTGGACAAGTGTCCCCAGTGCTGTGGGGAGGCTTCAGGGAGCAGATGGACATCCCCCCAGGCGGTGGCTGAAGGCCTCAGGCACTGAAAGGAAAGGGCGAAGACTAAAAGAAAGTTACGAACAGAAGTGAGCCTGCTCCCCAGCGTCCTGGCATCACCTGCGAGGAGAAATCAAAGGTTGGGGGATGGGGAAGGCTGGGGTGGCAGGGGAGAGGAGGGAGAATTACTGGGTCTCCTGCTCCCCTGCCCTCCTTACTTGGACACCCTGGTGGCCCTGCCTCCTCCCCCTCTGCCGGGAGGCCCTACCTCCAGGCCGGCTATGTGAAGCCAGGTGAGAGAGGAGAGAAGGGAGGAAGGAGAGTAGGCAGGAAGACAGGTGATGTTAAGGCTGGGTGCTGAGGAGGAGCACCCCTGTCCCTGTCTCTGTCTGCTCCCCTTGGTCAGGTGCAAGACAGCCAGGCTCCTGGCTCCCAAATCATCTCTTTGGGGGGCACTCTCAGTCCAACATGGCGGCACTTCTTCTGCCGACAGGAAGTGCTTACATGGTAATGGGTAAATCAGCCAGGCATTAGGAGACTGTGGAAGATACCCCCAGACTTTCACAGCAGCTCTGTCACTAGGCTTCAGAGAGTGGTCTGTTTGTCTAGGGGACAGAGTATGGCTCCATGACGTGGAAAGGGTAAGAGGGGGTGTCTGAAGGGAGACCAGAAAGGAGGAGTTGGAAGAGGGAGGTGGTGAGAGAGAAGAGCAGGTGTGTCCAGCATCTAGAGGGGGAACGGGTATGAAAGGAGGGAGGCAGACATATGTTGGCATGCTGTGGGAATGTGGCCTTGAAGAGCTTCAGCAAGCAAGGGGCACATGACAGACTGAGGTGAGCTGGGCGGGTGATAAAAGACTGAAGAAGGTGCCCTAGAGAAGGGGACAGAGTCTGTGGAGTGGGAGGGTAATCATCAGTGTGGACAAGAGTGTCTGTGAAAAGAACATGTAGGTAGGAGGAGGCCTGCTTGTCCCCGTGCCGGGCCCACAGATGTATGGTATGTGTGCTGGATCAAGGTGTCTCCTCACTTGCTTTGTGGGGGAAGGGCCCGTGTCAGCATGAGGAACAAGATGACTCACTGTAGGGGACACAGTCGTACTGCACCTCCAGGTACTTGTAAGTTCCGGGACAGGGATCAGGAAAGGCGTCAGAGCCAGCTACCACCACGCACTGGGTTCGGTTGTTGCACCTACAGAAAAGAGAAGAGGAGCTGAGGAAGATAGACTCAGACTTGGGAGGTTCTGGGGTCAAGGGGCAAACAGAGCGCTCCAAATTGGGAGGACACAGGGGAGTGGGAGACAAAGCTTTGAGCCCTGTTGTTTCCTGTCTGCTTCCTCAGCTGGGGGGCCATCCCCCTCACACAGCCGCCCCTCACTGCTTCATCCTGCTGTCCTAGTCAGTACTAGTACATCGTTGGTGCTCCTCTTCAAATTGACTCAAAAGCCCCTGCATGCCCTTTACGGATGCACAGGATGCCACACGTGATTGGTGCTTTTGCAAACACATCATCCCAAAGGTACAGTGTTCACTTCAGCCCTAAGGTGGATTCTGCCACCTTCTGGATAGAGCAGCTGAGAGGATTTGCAGTGCCACGGCTAGGAAGACTCTTGGATCCCCACTGGGAATCCGAGTCCCTATGAACCTCAGGGGTCTGGCTAGTAGAAAAGGAAGCCTATTTAACAACTAAAATCTCACTGCTGTCTGTACCTGCAGTCAAGGTGTCTGTGATATTCTATCTTCACTGTCAACTTGACAATTTAGAATTGCCTAGGAGACTGGTAATGCACACAGCTGGGCAGTCTATGAGCATCTTTTCTGAGAAGATTAACCCAGGGGAGTAGACCTACCTTGAATGTGGGCAGTACCATTTCACTTGGTGGGGGCTTAGACTGATGTAATAAAGGGGGAAGGCCAGACGTGGTGGCACACACCTTTAATCCCAGCACTTGGGAGGCAGATGGGTCTCTGTGAGTTCAAGGCCAGCCTGGTCTACACAGTGAGTTCCAGGACAGCTGGGGCTACAGGGAGACCCTGTCTCAAAAAGACCAAAAAAAATTAAAAAAAAAAAATAAATAAAGGGGGAAAAAGGAGAAAGCCAGCAGAGCACCCACATTTCCTTCTCCGCTTCCTGACAGCCATGATGTGCTCTGTTCTGCACCCTCCCTGTTGTTATGGATGGAACTCTCTAAAACCACGAGCCAAAATAAAACCTTTCCTCCCTTAAGTTGTTTCTGTCAGGTCAGAGACAAGGAAAGTAACCAATACCATTCCTAGGCCTTAGGCAGCCAGCAACCTAGGGATGGAACTCAGTAAAACTTGAAAGGCTCTGCCAGCGTGGATGAACCTGTGTCTGTCTTTAGTTCTACCTAGAGCCAGGGTGTGCTAACTACTAAGGCAGAAGTCCAGCAAGGGCTAAGTGTCTTTCAGGGAGGCTGAGAGTGCAGGCTAGGCCTGGGAGGGTCTGACTCTGTCTACCCACTCCATCCCTCTTTTTT